GTATTTTGACGAGCCCGTAGGGCTCGTCAAAATACGGCACAACTCGGAATAATACTCAGCGATACTACACAATAAAACGTCTAATAAGATATTTATATTGCAAGGTGTACCGAATGGCAAAAAAAAAAATACAAATTTTTCATTCATCTATATGATAATAAGGCACATTCTAGTTTTAATTTAACTTTCGTAACGGTCATTTTCTTCTCAAAAAATGCATCACTGCACTCCATGAGTTTTGTAAGTTGACTGTCTGTGGTGACGGCTGCTAACTAAATGGATTTTAAAACGAAACCTGATCCATTCTCCTTAAACTACTACCTTTGGTAACGAAACAAAAAGCTCGTCCTATTTGAAAAGTGGTTTGGGTTATGGTTTTATCCTCTAGCTATCTATATTGCGTGTACAATATCAAGCGTACATTAATACGGCAACTCAAACTGGGTTTCAAGAAAAGCAAGATGTTCAACTCATCTAAATGATAATTAGGTACTTTGTAGTTCTAATTTTCTAAAATATGATTGGTTTGTCGAAAAAAGAATGGGCTCCGTAAAGCAATTATTTAAAAAAGGATGTGTTATAGCGGAAGATTTTCTTTTTCTTCTAAGCCACATGTATACTGTTCCTTTTTAGTTCAAGTATGTTAGAAGAGGATTTCTCTTCAGTGCGAACTTCAAGCCTGATCATCTGTATTCTGAATGCCATTTGTTTCTTTCCAGCAGCGCTAGGAAACGGAATCATACTGATCGCTATTCGGCGGACGCCATCTCTACATTCGCCTTCGAACACGTTCTTGTTTGGTCTTGCACTGACTGACTTCCTCGTTGGTTTAGTGACTCAGCCGTTAAATGTCGCCTCCTCTGTCATTTTCCTTGTCGAAAAGGAAGAAGGTCCAATCGCTCTTACATTAGCGTTTGATTTTATCTCTGTTGTATTGACTGCGGCATCTTTTATGATAGCAACTGCTATAAGTATCGATAGGTACCTGGTATTTTACCTGCATATGAGATATCAAGCTATCGTCACCAACAAAAAAGTCGTGGCGATCATCGTTTTATGTTGGTGTTTATCCTGTTTATTTGGGGTCATTTGGACCCAAAATACTACAGCCTATTATGTCATTGGAATAGCAAGCTTCGTTATCTCCATTTTTATTATTTCTCTGATGTACTTTAAAATCTATAGAGTTGTGATACGTCATCAGGCCCACATACAATCTCAAGCTCACGTTGGAATCGCCCCAAAGGAAGCTTTATCGCATTTGCAGTTCGCACGTTTCACTAAATCTGCTGTGAATACGTTTTACGTTTGCTTCATTTTCTTCCTTTGCTTTTTTCCATATGCTTGTACAGCTGGCTTGATTCAAATGACAGGTCCAAGCCTTACCAAAGATATTGCACTGCAATACACAGGAACCATAACATTTATAAACTCGTCGCTGAACCCATTAGTTTACTTTTGGCGGCTTCCTGAAATTCGAAAGGCGATAAAGAAAAGTCTAGGATGTTGCTACCACGGACGCATTGGCTGGCGACAAGAAAGCAAAGAGAGGAGTGACAAAACTTCCAAGACATAGAAAATACTTCCAACTCTGATATTGAACCAAAGCTCCACCATCATAATTTTCCGCATTCGAACTCTGTTTTTTAAAGTTGAATAATATGGTCGTGTAGACCTTAGACAAAAGATCAGCTGCTTTCATGATACTCAATGACCAACAATTGAGTTTGTCGTTTTAAATGTCTTCAGCTCGAATTTTGAAATTTCTGACCTTGGGGAAACTTGCAGGAAACAGATAGGAAGTATACAAGAACATTAACACTAAGCTAGTGGAATAGATCGTTATCTTCTGAAATAGATCTTCCGTCATTAGATTACGTTTATTAACGACTAATTTATTCAAACAGACAAAGTTAAGTATCCGCCAGCAACTTCCACTTACCGTGGCCTTATCAGCCAAAGTTTTGACGATCGCGGAAGTTCTACTGACAATAATGAAAACCGTTTTTTTTTTTTGGGGGGGGGGGGGGTAAAAAGCACATCCCAGTTGAAGAACCGAGATTGTAACGTTGCCTTAATTTAAAAATGCTAATTTCGTGATGTACCGAAGTTTGTCAATTTGTCACTTGATAAACTAACCCCAAAAATTTTCATTTTTGTAAATCACATATTGTGATTTTATTTTCAGCAGAATCAAGGTAAAATATTTTGAGAGGTGCCGTTTTAGCAATGAAGTTTCCATTGAAAATCGAAGTGTTATAAAAATTTTAAGGTAAGCACTGAGCTTTTCGGAAAGTTGTAGAAGTTCTTTTTTAATGTAAGTAGCGATATTGTTGTGGTGTTGAATATGTACTTATTATTTTGTACTTAATTGCAAAAAGGCTGTCGAAATATTTAAACAGAGAAAAGATCACGATATGAAAATTTCTAAAATAACCATACATGGAGTTTAAATGAACGAGAAGGCATTTCTTTTCTAGTTAAGTCAATAAAATAAAACAAAACTTTATTGCAACATGGTAGCTTATTTAGCCCAAAGGCTCATATCCTCAGGGCCCCTGCAACTTAAAAAATTACAAGAATCTTAGATACATTAAAAAATTGGATAAATCATTGAATAGAATAAAGGCTGATAGTTTCTAAAGAAACTGTTTGGGGCTGCGTCGGTGGGGGTAACGAAATAATTTCAATATATCAACAAAGTTGAAATGGTAACTTGGCCACCGTTACGATTATAAAAGCTGACGTTTCGAGCGTTAGCCCTTCGTCGGAGCGAATAGAGGAATTGTGGGTTGTGTTTTCATCTTTCAAACCGGCAGTCTAAATCCCACAGGTATCAACGAACGCTTTTCATTCCACTAATTTATTCGTGTTTTTCTCGTTGCCATGTTCCCACCAATCACGTAGCTCCATTTTCTGCCTTTAAATGCACACACAACCCACAATTCCACTATTCGCTCCGACGAAGGGCTAACGCTCGAAACGTCAGCTTTTATAATCGTAACGGTGGCCAATTTACCATTTCAACTTTGTTGATATATTGAATTTATATTGAATAGGATATCTGCGCAAAAATTAAAGCGAGGCTCTTAAATTATATTTCCCTCTATACGAGTAGGTGCCCCACGCCAAGAAGTTTATCTCAGAGATATATTAATATTTCCGGAAAAATAAATTTTTCCTCCCCTCCTCCCCCAAACGCGATGAATGGGGTCACAACAACGCTAAAAGATAGGCCACTTGGGCCCGATCCCTGTTTCAAAGATGTTGAGTCTTCAAAAGTTGAGTTGTCTTTTACAGTTTGGAGGTTCAATTATTGCCCGTTGGCCGTCTTTTAGTTTCTTGAACCTTTAACGTTTGAAGATTGACACCAGTAATACTAGATTCGAATTCGGTAAAAGACATCTGGATAATCGAGGTTCGACTGTAATTTTTTTCCATTCGTGCTTGCAGTATCCAGTCCACCATTCCGACAAATTGCAGGTCAGTTTGTGCATGCGTACACCGCTTAGCAACGCCACGTGTTTGTAGTTGTCAGGAAGTCCGGTTATTAAAAGAATGCATTATATACAAGCGGTTGTTACAGTGCAAATACCAACCCATCTAACTAAGTCTATGAAATAAAACAAAAGGCAAACTTTCTTCAGCCACTTTCATGTCGTAAATGTATTGTTAGTATTGAACAAAACAGCGCTCGGCACCTGGTGCAAATAGCCTCGAGTCTTATTGGTCCGTTTTCAAGAAAAAAATGTTGAATCACGGTAGTAAGAAACGATTGTGTCCTCTACATTCTACTTCCTGCAGAGGAGTTCGAAATACGTTGAAAGTTCTGCAGTACATGCGATCCTTTCAAGTCAATAAAAAATCAGTATAGGCGTACCGACTGCTACTAGCGGAAACTTGTGATGAATGGAGCAATGGAAGGGACTCAATCCGGTGAAATGTTCACAATTCATTTTCTTCGTTGTACGCTGGGTAAGCAGAAGGTTTACTGGATCTGATGGTTATACTTTAGACTGAAATAAATAATGTAAAAAGCAAGAAGTGAATGATAACATATAGATATCTCGGTATTGAAACATCCCGCACCCCTCAGCAAAATTAAACAAGGAAGGAATTGTCAGGAGGCTCCTATTCAGTCTTCGAATAAAACAAGAAATTTAACCAGTCGACAAACGTCTGCTCTTGAGTTTTTTCGTGAAAAAAGTTCTAAGTAAATTAGTAAATGAGAATAACAAAGGAGATATGTTTGGTCAGTTTTACAGTTTCATTTTTGTTTCGATGCGATACAAAATTAATATGAAAGCAATTAGCCTCAATTGCGGTTTTAAAATGGTATGGCCCTTGTCGTTCATGACTGTTGTGTCTTGACGCATGGTGAAACACCTTTCAGACGTGTTTGGATCAAAAAAGATCAGCGACCAACCTCCTAAAGCTACTGTGACAAGGTTTCTCTCGGGAAATACATAAGAAAAGCTTTGCTTTGAATCATAAGATACTTGATAACCGTTCAATTTTTTGGCTGTGGGTTAGTAGGTATAAATTTTTCCACTATAGAGGACATCATGCGCCTCATCTCTCCGAAACGGGGCGAACATTTTATTTCCAACGCCAAAAGGCCTCTCCATTTCCTTTTTAGATCGAATCAGATTGAATTCAGCGATTGCCACACAGTCTCTACCGACCGATCATCTTCTTGTTCGAAGTGCTATTTTCCATTATTTTTCATTTCTTCTTCTTTTCTTCCATTTTTTCTTAAGAACTGGAGGGCAATGTTAAAGGTTTATATTACTTTTTATAATATTTCTGCAATAACAATCGATACACAATTTTTTCCCTTTCTCTTTTCAAGTTATCCTTCCTTGGGTGATGCAGTTGCAAGGAACAGGTGAGACAGTGTAATTCTAATATTCAAATTAATATAAAATGTAATTCTGACTAATTCATAAAAGTAGTCAGTCAGCGACTGGTTCTGGGAAGTACTAGTGATCAGCTTGTTATTTTATTCAGAAAAAAAAAGGAACAAATTTAAAGGATCACAATCCTATTACTCTGATTTCTAGAATTTATGGGTTTCCGTTTTATGAATATTTGCTCCACGCAAAGATGGACACTTATATAAAGCAAAACCAGGGCGCAGAAGCTGGTGATACCGCTGCGAGCTGACTAAAGTCATATCGAGCAGTGTGAATTAATTATTTGTATTGGGAGCACGGCAGAAAATTCTCTGCAAAAATAAACTTTTAGCATGCTGATGCCGCGTCATAATCTATGACTATACGAGGTGTGAAGTATACAGACAAGTGACGGGAAACACAGAAATAGCGCGGCAGTTATTCGGAGATAAATACTTATTTTATAAACCTAACATGAATAATGAAAACCATTTTCGAGAATCTGCTCCCCAGAAGTAGGATGCACAAGAGACAATTTAATCTATGGAATATACGAGGTGTGAAGTATACAGACAAGTGACGGGAAACACAGAAATGGCGCGGCAGTTATTCGGAGATAAATACTTATTTTCTAAACCTAATCTGAACATGAATAATGAAAGGTATTTTCAAGAATCTGCCCCCAGAGGTAGGCCGCACAAGAGACAATTAGGAATGCATTCGAAGTAAGGAGTAGTCGTAAAGGGAACCGTGCTCAACTTAAAAGGTATTATACAAAAAACCTTGGCTGAAACACAATAGTGATCGTTTAAGTTTGAGAGACTCAGACATTGGCTACTCACAGGAAGGATGTGTTTCTTAAAATCACATTAAACTGTCACTTTGAATGACATTCGTCTATCTATAACCTACTTAAATGAATAACTTTTACATTAACATAGGTAATTATGGTTTTATCAAATGAGTTGATATTGCAGATTGGTCACCGTCACTGAAGAGTTTCAAAGCTGGCGTTTCGAGTGTCGACCCTACGTCAGAGCGGATGGAGGAATTGTGGGTTGTGTGTGTGTGTTTATACAACCAGGACAAAGAGGATGTCGGTTGCCGTTCGGTTGCCCCAAGCAATGCCATCACGTTTACCTGAGAATAATTCATTTAAGCATTGAGCGCCCTTTTCTGAATTCTCACCGTTTATAAGGTGTGAAGAATTCGCCAAATAAGCGCGGTATATTAAATTGCAAGCTAGCAAATGCGAGCAAAGTTCCAAATGTAAACCGGGTGGGCTCAAAGAAACCATTGAAAACAAGGAAGGAATGGTTGATTCTATCATGCTTATTATGTGGGAAAAATTGCTTCCTTTCCTGTTCTGGCTTTAGATAACGTTTCTCTTGTTTCAAAAGGCGATCGCACTTATGCGTCTTTTAAAGAGCATGGACGGTAACGTATGTGCACACAAATAAGTAAAAAGATGTGGCTTAATATAAAAGATTTTAGTTCATCCGTTCCTTCGTCATCGTGGATTGGTTTTTCGTTATATTTTCCGAACCTGCATCACTTTGTTATGGGCAGATCTGGATGGAGCCTAGGGACCACCCCCCCTCCCTCGCCACATGTTTTGAATCTATTCTTCTTTGATAGTAAGTCTTTTGAGTCGATGTTGATAAGTTGTTTATATGCAGTAAAGTTGCAAACTTATCACAATTTTTCAGTCTTCTTTTTCCGTCCGTGTAAATTTTCTTTGTCGGGTGTCTTTTAAACCCGTTTTTTTTTTTGCGTCTAACAGTCGGCTCTACCACCAAAGAGCAATTCTTTTCCAAACCTACAATTCCCCATTCTTAAAACTTCTTCTGTCCAGCCTTGCGAATTAGAATTTCCCCCAGAGAAATCTCAGTCATAATGTCAGTCACACCTCCATTGCTGACCCGCTGGTTCCATTTTATTGTCATTGCGGATCAAGGGGGGTCGTCACTGAATTGTGCGCACCTTCCTGATTTGATGATGGTTCACTGTCCACAACCTTGCACCAGCAACCAATGATAAAACAGTAGTTTAAACTTGGGTCACATTTGTTTTTTTAATGGTCAATTCAGGGAAATCGAAGACCCTTTTGTTGCTATCCTCAAAAGAACGCGATCTTGCTTGGATATACGCGTCTGCTATACATTTACCAAACAATAACTAGAGACATAATTCCCAAGAAACTCAATGAGGTGTCACATTTCTTGATAAGACAAAATCAGTGAGGAATTAAGTCTACAATTTGAATTCATATGTGACTGATTTTCACGCTCATTTCCTTGCAAGCTTACTGTAAGCAAAGAAGGAAATTTTAGTACAAAGAAAATGTCATAAAAAAAAATTTAGTGTGTAATATAAATCTGCTTCTTCGATATATTCAGTAGGTGTGTTTGTTTTGGATCTTTTTGGACTTTGTGTTTGTTTTGGAATGCCCAGCTACAAGATATCAGCACCATAACAAGTCGAGTTTTAGTACTGTAGAAATGTTTGATCTTCTAAGAGGCGAGCAAGTGCAGTGGAGCTGTATAACTCCGGTACAAAGTTAGTGCCAACAGGCCGGCCAGGTTTCTTTGAAGTCTGAGACAGCGATTATAGGACTACATCCTTACTTGACTTGACGAAGGATCTGATAACAATGTTTACACAGTCAAGAAAACACACTGCTACCATAGAATCGACTGCCTTTGAATTTTATTTAAAAGAGATTGTATGTAATAACATGGCTGACAGCCTGTCAAAAATCGATTTTCCCATGTCAAGCTGTGTACACTTAACAGGGAAGCGGATCTGTGTAAAAAACATAAGCAATATAAAGATCACTTTGTTGAAAAACACCTTCGGAGAGCAGCAGCTGCATGCAGATCCAAAGAATTATTGTTCAGACGAGGGAGATGGCTGCGCCACATCGTGCGATAAGGCAAATTGGTAGAACCCAATAATGATAATTTCATTTCTTTGTGTGGTCGCGGTAAGTGCTGAGAAATTGACATTTCTGGATACGCTTAAATTCGGCCAAATTGAAACCACCCTTTTTTGATATCTGTTTTCTTGAATAGCTCTATTTGCCTTCAAAAGGATTTGACGAGGATTTAACAGGTAAGACAAAACAAATATGGTTTTATTCGATATTTTTACTTTTCACTCAAACCCGACTCAAAGCGCAAGGCTAAAGCAACGATGGCCTTTGAAAATATCTGCAAAGTTTTTATCCGATCCCAACTGTATATATTGTACAGTAGAAGCGCTGAAATCCTAATTCCACTGTAACAGTTTAATTCTTTTACAGTTTTTGCTTGGTCTAGATGCACATCAGAAGATATAGACTGTCGAAGTCTGATCAGTTTGTTATGCGGCCTTCACAAATAGAGATGTCAAAAGCTACAGCGAGCTTTACTCTCCCCACGGGCATATTCGGTTGAAATAATTTGGTATTATTCACATAAAGAAAACTTCCGCTACAAAATGTAATAAAAAAATCTTTATTCTAAGTAATAAAGCTGCGATCTCTAATTAGCATTTGCGTAGAATGACAATTAGCGTATACATCTGTCCAAATTAAGTGACAAATCTATCAACTCTCTCTGTTTTTCTTCCATTCTTCGCGATTTATTTTGACTGTCATATTCTATTCCTTTAAACTTCAGTCATAGCGAGATCTTTCGTATAGGGAACTTTCTGGAGTATTCTGAAACGATTATCATTCCGGTTCATTTTTAAGAGAAAACGAGGGACTGAATGATTTCGATACTATTTGTAACATAAGAGTTCATATGTTCAGAACATATGACAACAAACTTATCATTAACAAGAAAGGGAAGAAACACAATAGATGTTCATCATCACAAGTAACCAGTGGTTTCGCGCCATTGCAAGTTCACTCCCAATTCGCCTCCGAACCAAAAACCCACCACAGCGAGATTCATATGAAGTAAATTGTATTCATTGTTACAATAGGACAATCTTCAATTGACTATCAAACACAGAGTCCATGACTATTTAGGTTTTACCAATCAAAGCTGTATGATTGGTTTAAAAAAAAAAAAAGGAATTATGCCACGAACTGAACATCACGATCCTGTTACACAGGTTGGACTTGTCCTCGAGACTGGTTATACTTCAACGGCTCATGCTATCGAGCTCATGACACTAAACTGTCATGGTTTGACGCAAGGGTGGCTTGCGAGAAAAACGAAGGAGAACTGCTTAGCATCAACTCTGAGGGAGAACAGCAGTTCGTATACAAACGCATGGCAGTTAACAAAACGTTTTGGATCGGCTTGGTGAAAGATAACAGCTCTCGAAGGTTCCACTGGTCGAATAGGGAGGAGCTAGCTTACTTGAACTGGATCCCTGGAGAGGGAAAGATTACGGGTGACGAGGACTGTGGTGAAATGACAGACTACAGTTCATTTCATGGCCAGTGGAACGACAAAAGCTGCTCCAAAGAACAGCCCTACATCTGTGAAAAAGGTAAAGTAATTCATTCACCTCAAGCACTTAGTAATATAAAGAACTGCCTTTTTCTAATAAGGGATATAACTATGGTTATTTTCCTGATAGCAAGTTTTTAATTCTAGTCATTAGTGGTCCCAAAGGCAATTTTCGATCAGGTATCAAATTTAACCAGGTACTGCTTCAGTTTTGACTCCCTGGATTCAGCGATTGGTCTAGAAAACTCATACAAATTTAATAACCGATCATATGCAACACACAATCAAAACGGACACGTGAGGACGAGATATGGAGAGTAAGAAAGAAACACTTTGTTCTTTTATTGCCCAAGGTTTCCTATTTATAGCGGGAAACATTGGTGTTAAATTGAACCAAATGTGATCTTGTATATAGCGGCACTCAACATGCGGGAATCACATTGGCGGGTCAAAAGGGATTCGGGTTTCTGTCACTGAATGACAGGTTCTGTGTCTGTCAGGCATTTCACTTCCTTTAGGTTCAAGTCCTTGAGGACATTTACCCTTAATAAAAGGAAATTTCTGACGAGGACGTGTTGTTTGAGATTTAAACCTATGGTACAGGAAGAAGTTGTTCAAAGCACAACTAGCAATAATCCAGATACAACTGACATAGTAACTTATACTAGAAGAAATGATTTCTTGACTTTCTTGTAGACAGGTGACCATTTTATCTCTTGATCGAGTCTCAACTTGGTCCCAGTAAAAAGAAGTGCAAATAAGAACAGGCCGAAACAGCTGTAATAAAATAGGACCAGGTCAAAACTAACGAAGTGTATGTAAATAGTAGAAAGACGTTGATCCCAAAATCTTGATTAGTAATAAATCAGCACTTGAATCGAAACAGATGCAGTGAGGGGACGATATTTCAAGAGATTGCCAAACACACAGTTGACTGAGCATGTGATCGACCAGTTGATCGTACAAAGTGACATTGAATGTTTGCTCTGGTGTGGACGCAACCAAAACTGCACATCAGTTAACTATAGACCAGGAGACTCGCCATCAACGAGCCTTTGTGAGATAAACGCTGCAATCGCAAACGAGTTTCCCGAAGATATGGTGAAGAGCGAGGAATTCGATTACTATGAGGCTTTGGTTGAAGATATTTGACTCACTGGCCCCTCCCTGGTGACCATTGGCAATCATGAACCGTTTAGTTTTTAGGTCAGTAATGTAAGGTTTCTTATTTTTGCAGCGAGGTGCAAATAAATAAATAAATAATTGGTAAGTAACCATAAAAAAAAATTTTACAACGCTTGGTTGGTTTTAGTCTCCCTTGCAGCCTTTTCCGGAGTCGTCACGCAAGCGAAAACTCCCCCACCAACGGCTACTCACATTCGAACAACATTCCTTTCCCATTGTAATGTGTTATCCAATCAAAATAAAGTTATTGTCTGACAAACAACCAATGAACACGCGATATACTTATTCCCGCGAATTCACAGGAAGCGCGTTAGCGTTAGTTTAAGCTCTCAATACACCACTTTTATAAATGGCTGCCGGATTGATATTCTTTTGTTTAAATTCAAATTAGCCTCACTAGCCTCGCTTGAGATAATGCATTCTTTGGAATTTTTAACTGGAGAACGAGGCCAGAAAGGCTAATTTAAATTTAAACAAAAGAATATCAATCCGGCAGCCATTTTTGAAAGTGGTCAATACCAAAAGTATCTCGCACTAAGACAAAAGCGTCTTCATTTTGTCAGTTTCAACGCTCGGATAATACGAACTCTGTGATTGGTTTGATTATTGAGGCGCGAACGCTTTCCAGAATATGCTAAGTAAATGCTGATTGGCCAATTCTCGGAAAGGAATGTTGTTCGAATGTGAGCATCCGTTGGTGGGAAAGTTTTCGCTTGCGTGACAACGCCGGAAAGGGCTGCAAGGGAGACTAGGTTGGTTTGGGTCAAACATGGCGTTTTGGGTTTCCTTTGTGTTATCAATCATTGCGTTATCACACATGGTTGAAATGATGGACTAAATTTTGTTGTGGTAGAGTAAAAAAACAAAACAAAACAAAACAAAAAAAAAACAAATATTCTTGAAACACCATGCTGTTTTCCTGCGGAGTCATTACCATTGTAATTACACACACGAGATACTATGTTTCAAGCGAGTAGCAGTAAATAGGGTTAATGAGAAATAAAATAATTTCTTTTTCATATCTAGTATGTATGATTACATTAAGATTTGCACAAAACAAAATGTCGGATACTGGACAGCCTTCAGCTTTTAAATTAAGGGTATTCGTTTAGATAAATTGTCATCATGATAAAGTAGTTCAGCTACACCCCAGTCGGCACCTGACGATGAAGTTTAAGCAACTACATCGAAATTATTACACCCAAAGAATTCAAATGTTGTGAGAACACAGTTGGCAAGACCTTCAGGCTGAATACAGTTACCAATAATAAGCACAATGAAAAATTCATAATATTGTTTTCATTATATTTTCTTAGAATTTAAGCACAATTGTCTCTAATATTCCATGCATAATTGATAGTACATCATTTCATTTGAGTCAAAATTGATCCCACATCTCCACTTAGTCTCTGAAGAAGCGTGCACATGAATACACCAAATGGTTTTTCGCGCAACCCGGGGTGTGTGTCATTTAACATGTCACGAAATGCGTGACAATACGATTCAAGCTATGCGTGACAAAGCATGTACATTAATGTTTCACTTTCCGCTACTTTGTAACGTTTCTCTGTGTTACGTTATGAAAAATATGTCGACGGTTCATTGGATCAGTGACCATCCCAGATTCAAACTTCTATCAAAATATTTCACAACCACGAATTATTCATTCTTGTTAATGGCTCAAGCTGAAGAAATCATAAATCACGAAAATCCGTGTTGCACAGGAGCACTTTGCACAGAAATTGACAACTCCGACTTGTACCGAGGATATGTCGAACGGCTCAAAATCCTGAAGTTCTGGACAACACCTTTCCTTTGCTTCTTCATTAAAACAGTCCCACGATCAAGAACGTTGAAACGTTTTTCAATAATCCTCCCACCCATAAACCAAAACCTTTGCTTATCGAGAGTGTTTCCTGGTTCTACTTCAAATACTGTTATTGCAGAGTTCATCTCTCTGACTGACAGCATTCAATGAATTCTCTGTAAGGTGCACTCGTTTGAGCGGCCCTTCTAAATGTGGATATCAGAGTCTCTTTATCAGTTGCGTCGAGATTCTGTGGGGAGAAAAAATGAAAAAAAAAAAAAAATACACTGAACATCTGCAACACCGAGTCACTGCTATGCTTTGTGTATATTCTGTCTAATTCAATGTTACTCATACATTGTACCGGAGTAACTTACACACTTTCACAAAATAAAAACTAGAGGGGACGAGGTCACGTAAAAGGGTCTGGTTCCAAAAACAATGGGAGAGCTGAAAACGCAGCAACATCAGTCATAGAGAAAAGTCCTCAGTCCCCTTCCCAACTAACCTAAAAGAGCTGGCTCATTCTATGCCACGACCCCAGAAAAACATCATAAAAAGCAAAAAAGGGGACTGCAGGCAAATAAAATCGTCCATGGAAATGGAAAAACTGTGATCATGGGTTATCAACTTGCGAGGTTTTAATGACTAGTCAGCTCGGAGGCAAAGTTTGCATGAGACTGAACTGGCTGCTATAACTTGTCTTACCTGAGTTCTGTAGAAATCCATAGCGGCTGCGCAGAATATTCTAACGTCGATATCTTCAAGTTTACCCATTCTTCCCACGATATAAGAAAAGCTGAGGTTATCGTTAAGAAGAAAATTCAAGAGGACAATGTTGCAGCATAAGAAAACAGTGCCTAAACGTTTACTTCTCTTTAGCGACACCGGCGCGGACACTGGGTTGAGTATCATATCGCATAAATTAACATGAATTAAAACTCTTCCAAAGTGCTGTTAAAAAATACAAAAGAGTAACAGAGATCAAGTATGAAATCCCGTGAGTCGCACTCCATACTACATTTTAGACCAAAGATTGGATACAGGGCTCGGATCCATTTGTTGTTGGAAGCGCTAATGAAAAAGCAGGTAAGACTCCACACAGCCATCGACAGAGGTGTCCTTTTAAAAGAATAAACACATAACCAACATCAATTAGGTACACTTGTGAAGACGCCTTACGATCACGTCCGCTGTCCCACTACACTAGCAAACCAAGCCTAAGGGGGTAGACGCTAGAATTTTTGATAGGGGGTCCAAACTTTGACTCAGAAAACAGATATATATATATTTTTTTTAACGGTAGCCCAAATATGCAAAGAAAAATTGCAAGGCAAATAAATATTGAATTTAACACGTCAAATTGTCCAGCCAAAAGTGCTCTTGCTGTTGCAAGAATTTTGGTACCAGAAAAGTGGTAAAAACCCCACTGGTCTGATGGGAAGAGGTTTTGCACCCCGCCGACCTCTCCGTTCATCCCTTAACCAAGCACTTTATGCTGTCCTGGTAAATGTTTATGAAGAATCAGCAGGACAAGGTGGACGAAAAATGGAGGTCTAAATGTCTCTTTCTAACAAATAGCTGCCATGTTTCCAGTAATAGTAGAGTAGACATCTATATTTATACAGGATAGCCCCTTCAGTGTAGTAAACACTGGTATCAACGGGGGTCCTGTTAACCACCCATCCCACCCCAGGGAAGGACATCCATCACACAGTAATCTCGTGCGTGGGAAATTAACGTCTCCTGCCCCTAACCCTGCAGGAGACGGGACCTCCATTTATTCGTCCCTATCCGAGAAGACTAGAATATCTAACCATTCCATGATGCTATAGAAAGGTAGCCTATTCTTCTCAATTATTTTAAGACCCTGAGTGTTGGTCCGGCCGGGGCTCGAACCCTCGACCTCCCGCACAACAGTCCAGCGCTCTATCCATTGAGCTAACCGGGAGGCGGTTAGCTCAATGG